TATAAGATACTTATCTTAAGATACTAACAAGGTTAGGTAAGGTCGGTGTTTTCTATGAAGCTTTTTAAGGGCATCTATTATGTTTAGTATGTCACCTATGCACTTATTTAATAAGTCAATATTGACTTTACGAATTTGCGAGAACGGGTTGGTTTATCATAAAGACTATGTCTTTATCATAAGTCTTTATCACAGGTCATTTACCAACAACCTCATAGTCATAGGAAATGTATATGTTTATCTCTCAGAATGTTCGGTAATACGTTTATTGCTTGTGATGTGCATCTATGTATTAACACGATGTACTGAACGGGGTGAGAATAGCTTGAGCTACCTCATCCCTTTGAGTGTATTTTACCTCAATAAACTTATTTCAATTTCATAGTCATTATCTTTACCATGGGTTGTTGGTTCAATTCGCTCAAATGTTCGGACCCTTTGTTGAATATGAATCTCTCTTCAGCCTCTTTGTATCTTTTATTCGATCCGTCATTTCCCTACACTGCCTCCTCAGGGAAGGCAACTTTCAAGAGAAAGCGCCAAGCCATTACGACTATATATAGTCGTAATGGCTTGGCTATATAATGTCGTAATGAAAAGGGCCAGGATAAGGATTTGGAATGGGACGGGAGAAAGCAATAGTGCCCAACCATTTGGACAGTTGGGGATTAAATGCCGACCTCCATGAAGGGAGACCGTCGCTCTACTGTCCAGCCAAAGTGGTTGGGCACCGTCTTCCTAGGTACTCTCTTAGCCTTGTATAGTTCCCTTTTCTGTAGTCTACTCTTCTTTCTCTAACCCTTTGAATTATGACCATTGTTATTAATTCAATCATGCAATTTAATAAGAACCAGGGCACAATGGTCGCTGGCTCCTATAGTTATATTTTATATTCCAAGTTTTCGAAATCGTTCTCATTTTGGGTGAAGATTAGATTCAGTAGACTAGGTGCATCTTCCACAATCCCTTTTTTTGCCCAAGCACTTGGACTAAACGGTAGAGCGATGATATCCCTTCTTGCAAGGTTCGCGATCGATCCCCGACCGTTTAGGTGGTTGGGCACCATTCCATTCCCCCGTCCTATCCTAAATCCTTATTCTCATATCCCTTGTAAGTGCTATTGAGTCGTAATGGCTTAGTACCTCCTTCTGATAATTCAAACCGTTCTCGCGAGCGTTCCCAACGTTAAGAAAGTGTTGTATTAAAGTGACCTATCCTGACCAACCAGAGGACCCAAAACAGAAAACGGGATATTATGCAATTTCGCGAGCCGTTACCATTTGTGTTTAACACACATTACGCCTCATATACCTGGTTACCTGGTTGATACCTGGTTGATGGGGTTCTGGGAGTTCTTCTACTCCCCAAGCTCGGCCCGAGGCCAGGCTTGACTTGTGAGTTTGGTCCACTAGGTTGTTGCTTGGAGCGGCCCGCAGGCCCACATACCCACTATAAGCGTTATACAGTAATCTAAAAGCCTCCGTATTCAAGTTTCTGAAGGATGTTCTGACTTTTGCAAGAGTAGCGTATGCGGCTGACGTTATTCTATTTATATGAGCCTCTGGAGTTAGGTCTGGTGTTATGTCCACTCCCAGGTCTTTGTCTCTAGACGTTATAGGGAGGTAGTTTCCCTTCGTCGTATATTGGCCTTTCGGTCTTCTGGCTCTTGTCCTCATTTCCATCACCTTACACTTGTTAGTGTTGAACTCTAGCAGCCATTTCTCGGACAATCTCAGAAACCTGTTCAAGTCATCCTGGAGCATTTTACAATCCTCATCTGTCTCAACCCTCATTAGTTTTGCATAATCTACAAACATCGACATAAAAGACTCAACTCCTGCAGAATGAACATTTACATAAATGAAGAATAGAATGGGTCTCAGCACCGATCCTTGTTGAGTGTGTGTATATTTACTATTTGTATCTGCCGAATCAAGCTATTAGCTCTTGGACCCCGCCTTTCTAACCAATTTATTTTCCCTCTATATATTTATAGAGGGAAAATTTATAAATACATATATTTATCTCCCTCTCACACACACACACACACGCGCGCACCTCTAGGAAGCAGCCCATAACAGCTGTCTAACTCCTAGGTACCTATTTACTGCTAGGTGAACAGAACCACCAGGGTGAAAGAAAGTGCCCATTTGTTTCCGCCTCCGCCAAGGATCGAACCCGAGTCCTTAGGACTACGCATCCCCAGAGCGCTGTCCACTCAGCCGAGAGACTCCTACTCGTGTATGCCCCCCCCGCACACGAGTATGTTCACGTGAATATATGTACGTGTTTACATGTGAACATACTGTACGTGTGTGTGTGTATATATATATATATATATATATATATATATATATATATATATATATATATATATATATATATATATATATATATATATATATGTTTGCTGGTGTATTTACGTGTACTCACCTAGTTGTGCTTGTGGGGGTTGAGCTTTGACTCTTTGGTCCCGCCTCTCAACCGTCAATCAACTGATGTATAGATTCTTGAGCCTACTGGGCTCTATCATATCTACAATTGAAACTGTAAATGGAGTCTGCCTCCATACTGACAGCTGACTGACAGTCTGACAGTTAGACTGGTGCCTGACAGCTGAGTGGACAGTGTTTCGGATTCGTAGTCCTGAGATTCCGGGTTCGATCCCCGGTGGAGGCGGAGACAAATGGGCAAAATGTTTCTTTCACCCTGATGCCCCTGTTACCTAGCAGTAAATAGGTACCTGGGAGTTGGACAGCTGCTACGGACTGCTTCCTGGGGGGGGGGCTAACAAAAAGGAGTCCTGGTCGAGGACCGGGCCGCGGGGACGCTAAGCCCCGAAATCATCTCAAGATAACCACCACATCACTGCTTAATGCATTCCATTTCTTAACTACTCTGACACTGAAAAAATTCTTTCTAATGTCTCTGTGGCTCATTTGGGTACTAAATTTCCACCTGTGTTCCCTTGTTCGTGTTCCACCCGTGTTAAGAGTTTGTCTTTGTCTACCCTGTCAATACCCCTGAGAATTTTGTAGGTGGTTATCATGTCTCCCCTTACTCTTCTGTTTTCGAGAGACGTGAGGTTCAGCTCCCTTAGCCTTTCCTCGTAGCTCATACTTCTCAGTTCCGGGACGAGTCTGGTGGCATACCTCTGAATCTTCTCTAACTTTGTCTTGTGTTTGGACTAGGTATGGACTCCAGGCTGGAGCTGCATACTCCAGGACTGGTCTGACATAAGTGGTATACAAGGTCCTGAATGATTCCTTACACAAGTTTCTAAAGGCAGTTCTTATGTTGCCAATCTAGTATATGCCGCTGATGATATCCTTTTGATGTGGGCTTCTGGGGACAGGTTCGGTGTGATATATCAGGTTTTATGAAGTCACTGGGACATGAGGTTTAAAATATGTTTCAAATATCAAAAAGCATTAAAATATGTTTTCCGTATGAGCTGAAAAAAGTACTCAATACTTACAAACAAGGTAATAATGGGAGAGTTGTAAAATAAACTAAATTATTGCAATTATTGAAGGTTGAAGAAAGATGTGAATAGAACAGACATGAGAGTGGAGGGAGTGGGTGGAAAAATGGAAAAGGTGACGGAGAGGGTTAGGAGGAAAGGTATGGTGTAGGAATGATAGTGTGTGGGGGGGGGGAGGGGGAAGGAAAGGGGGTGGGGGAGAGGGGTGGGAGTGTGTTTGTGGGGAGGGGGACAGGGACAATAAGTTAGGGCGGGAAGGTGAGGGAGAGGGGCAGTAAGGGAGGGAGGGAAGGTGAGGGAGAGGGGGAAGGTATGGGAGAGGGACAATGAGGGAGGGAGGGAAGGTATGGGCGAGGGAGAGTGAGGGAGGGAGGGAAGGTATGGGAGAGGGACAGTGAGGTACGGAGGGAAGGTATGGGAGAGGGACAGTGAGGGAGGGAGGGAAGGTATGGGAGAGGGACAGTGAGGTACGGAGGGAAGGTATGGGAGAGGGACAGTGAGGGAGGGAGGGAAGGTATGGGAGAGGGACAGTGAGGGAGGGAGGGAAGGTATGGGAGAGGGACAGTGAGGGGGAGGGAGGTATGGGAGAGGGACAGTGAGGGAGGGAGGGAAGGTATGGGAGGGAGGGACAGGAGGGAGGGAGGGAGGTATGGGAGAGGGACAGTGAGGTACGGAGGGAAGGTATGGGAGAGGGACAGTGAGGGAGGGAGGGAGGTATGGGAGAGGGACAGTGAGGTACGGAGGGAAGGTATGGGAGAGGGACAGTGAGGGAGGGAGGGAAGGTATGGGATGAGGTACGGAGGGAAGGTATGGGAGAGGGACAGTGAGGGAGGGAGGTATGGGAGAGGGACAGTGAGGTACGGAGGGAAGGTATGGGAGAGGGACAGTGAGGTACGGAGGGAAGGTATGGGAGAGGGACAGTGAGGTACGGAGGGAAGGTATGGGAGAGTGAGGTAGGTACGGAGGGTGAATGAGAGGCAGGGGAAGGTGCGGGTGTGGAGGAGTGCTGGGGGAACGAGGAAGGTGGAAGGGGGAGTGAAGGTGTTGGTGGGAGAGGAGGAAGGGGGTGGGATGGGGGGGGGGGGAAGAATGAGAGGTGGGAACATCATACATCTGGCAGCAGGAGCAGGAGTCAGTGTTGCCAGGTCTGGGTGTCGAGGAGGAGGGAGGGGGGAGGGGGGGGGGGGGTGAGAGCGTCGCCCCCCCCCACCCCCCTCCCCCTCTGCGCCGCCGCCGCCGCCGCTGCTCCTCACAACACACAACAATCGAACACCCCGCGATCGTTACTCTTTCCATTACCCCTGACACTCATTTTCCTGCCCCGGCCCTCAAGCACCCAAGGCGGGGACCACCGCCGGCGACACAACATACCCGGGGCAAGCCGTCCGTGCCCCAAGCTCCCCCCCTTCCCAACACACACACACTGTTATTCTCACAATGGATAACGTCGGGTCGCGCTTCGTAAATATAAGCCTGCTGGAGGGAATATTTCAGCCTGTCATTGCTTGCCACCTACCTGCTCCGTGGGTCGACGGCGTCTCGCGGGTGCTGCCAGGGCCAGGGCTCTCTGCCATGCATGGTGTGGCGCTGGAGGTCGGTTCAGAGGTATGAAAAGAGTGGGAAGGCGCCACCTTGGGAAGGATTCAGCCTCCTCTCACTACCTCGGTGCCTGGAGGTCATAGGACGTCGTCTTGGCGTTGGCAGCACTGCTACCGCCGCGTTTTCTATACCTACGTTTTCTCTCGACGCTTTGCTTGGGGGGACTTAAAGCTCGGCGGGAAATCGATCTCGTTTAAATCACATTTCTTGGCTGCAGGCATAGCGATTAAAAGATTGGATTGATTTATTCGTTTAGTAACACTTGTTTGTGATTAGAGTAGATTTGGTGAAGGATTTTCTGAGTATTCTAAGGATTCATAGTGTTATTTTTATATTTGTCAAGATGGAGGGGGGCCACGCCCATTCCTGTACGCCTCGAGACACCAGTTACTCAAAACCCGGCCAAGATTTACAGACAGGCGGATTACCATAATGAGGATTATACTCACTTGCGTCTATATGAATATATAATATACATATATATATGCAGTCAGAACATATTGACAAATAGAGTTACATATTAGCGCTATATAGCGTATGCTATGGAGACAAGGAACTGGGAATAGGTCCAAAGCGGTATTGATTAGTATACGCTAAGCCTCAGCCAGAGACGGTTTTGTCACTTATTTGCTTCTGAAAGTGCAAATTTGAGTGACTTGATGATAGTGGACTTAAGATTGGTTAACGTATGTCAATAAAAAAAAACGAAATAAACAGCTAAAATTACTATTTCCACAAACTAGTGTTCAGTATCCCTTTTTTATTTAACTGAGGGGCCACCATCATCCTCGATAGGGACAGGAACCCGGCTGCTTGTCAAAAGTCAATGCATTGTTCCTGAAGTTTTTTCCAACTAGATTTTGAACTGATGTCTTGGCATTTATGGCTTTGGCGGGTAGGCAGTTCCATGGGTTTATAACCCTATGGCTCAAAAAACATCTAATAATAATAATAATAATAATAATAATAATAATAATAATAATAATAATACAAATCATTTATATACAAGAAGGTACAATGGGTTGGTGAGAGTACATTAGTTAAATTTATAAATTGACAGTGGTGATTACACTGATAAATATGAAGTACTTAATTAGTCTCAAGTACTAATATTGGGGAAATGGGTAGTACAAGATATAATGTGAGTTTGAAGCACAAGGTTGGAAACTATGACTGTAATTAGATATTTTTTTGTGTTTTACTTTTGAACAAGGCATAGGTTGGAACATTTTTAATTCATCAGGGAATGAGTTCCAAAGACTGGGCCCTTTTATTTGCATAGAGCGTTTGCACAGATTTAGCCTGACTCTTGGGATATCTGGGGACATCTCCAGTTTTCTGTCTTACATTGTGGCTTGTTGAACTTGAAGCTGTTGCTCTTGTAAGTGTTTCATTCGATCTTTTAAAAAAGAAGTGGTTTGGAATAATATTCTCCAACTTGTTTAGTATTTTAAAAGTTTCCGTAAAATCAGTCCTGTCATGCATGGTTGACTCTGGTCGCTATATTTCTCGGCGGGGAAGGGACATTCTCAGGGTCCTGAGATTTTCTGAAAAGGGTTTCAGTGGTAGAGTTCGTCGGTCAGTGCCTTTACTATTTTTAATTGAATCCATCTACACTTGGAGGTTTTATATTCGTTTAATTTGTCAATGTTCTTCCAGATTGTTTCGCACGTTATGGAATATCCCTTAATTCATTATCTTCCATTACATCAAACATTTGTATGGGTACTGGACTGCTGTCTAATATTTCTAGTGTGAACACTGATGTACTGTAATAAAAATAATAATAATATTAATAATAGCAATAATAGTAATGCGCAAAGAAATCACATTAACGTGATGTATCAAAGAGAAATTCAGTATAGAAGCCATGAAGAGGGTTCGAGCCTACACATTGGGTACTCTGAAACAACGCCTTAAATCACTGGACCATGGTATATTACATAATCCTTATTTACATAACTTTTGTAGCATATCGTGTCTGTGTCAGTGTTATTCCCATATAACTGTCAGGATGCTTTCCTGCGACCTGCTGACGGATCAGTTGAGCTCTCAGTGAAAATATAATAATTGATTAATTCCCAACCAGTTTAAGATAAAAACGAAGTACCACCTAATTAACTCAATGTAACCTACCTCACCCCTAAATGTCAACCCATGTCAACGATTTTAAACAATGCTGTTTGTTGACCAAATTGTATTTTTGCTTTTTTCTACCATGTTTCCCCCCCCCCCCTCTTTTTTCATTTTTTTCTGATTTTTTCTCAACACAATTTATACTTTAATCTAAGTTAGTATTAAGTTTTAGTCTTAGTGTTTTTACTGTCCGAAACGCTTTGCGTAATAGTGGCTTTAGGCATTGTATGCACTAGCTCTATCTATAAATCCATTAACTTTTGTATTTCACCTTGTATGTATGTACTTTACCTGAATAAATATTTGTATTTGTATTTGTAATTAGTCCCCGGCCGTGGCGTAGTGGTAAGACACTCGCCTGGGTTTGTCTGGCCGGGAAGGATTCACTGGGCGTCAAGTTCAAGTATGTTTATTGAGACAAGAATTACTGGGCGTCAATCCTTAACTGTAGCCTCTGTTCACCCAGCAGTGAATGGGTACCTGGTTGTTAAACGATTTGGCGGGTCGTATTCCAGGGAATATTAGGATTAAGGACTTGCCCGAAATGCTATGCATGCTAGTGGCTGTACAAGAATGTAAGAACTCTTGTATATATATATATATATAAAAAACTTTATTTTCAACACACAAATGGGGCCATTCAGTTGCAGTACTAACCAGCAAAATCAGTTCTCATAAAGAAAAGCCAAATGCTCGCTAATCCAGCCGCAAAATCCCCCTGTTAATGAATGAACGAGCAATATACAATTTACTCACGAGTAATAACGTACAATTAATTGTCAACAGAACCTCAGTACCTAACCTACACCTAACTATATAAAAATTGTAATGTATAATAATAATATGATAACATTAATTTGTGTATAAGAAAATGCCCATTTGGAAACGGGCATTACGTTAAAAACGTTAAAATTATTGAATGCGTCTATGCAGTCGTCTGGGTCATGGGGTGAACGCAGCCTAGTGTGGGATGGCGGCGCATCTAAAGTTCCTTTCATTCATAAACACGGAGGTTTTACCGTGTTTATGAATCTTTTTATTCATAAACGCGGAGGTTTCACTGTGTGTATGAATCTTTTCATTCATAAACACGGAGGTTTCACTGTGTTCACTGCGATATATATCTCATATCTATATATCTCTGTATATATGTATATCTGATATATATATATATATATATATATATATATATATATATATATATATATATATATATATATATATATATATATATATATATATATATATATCAGATATACATATATACAGAGATATATAGATATGAGATATATATCGCATTCAGCTATGAGATATACATAGAATATTCTCAGGGAGGAACGGAGTATAGGGAGCACGACCAGAATAGAGTACAAGTTACAGCCCCGCTCCTGTGCCAGATAAGTCCACTACGGGCTCACCATAGACCGTGCTACTTGGAACTATTTGTTCCCAGTAACTGAATCTAAAACAACAACAACGTATAGGGAGGTGATGGGTGTAAGGGGGCGTGTCGGGGTGGAGATGGAAAGAGCTGGGGGAGGGGGAGGGGGCTAGGGAACTGAGGGATGGGAGGAGGGAAGGGATTGATGTGAGTGAAGGACAGGTGGTTGGTGGGGGGGGGGTGTCCCAACTTCACTTTTTCCTGACCCACGTGCAATGTCACCAATTTGCAATATGGCCGACAGCCCACGGAGGATATGGAAGAAGCAGTTAGCGTCTAGAGCAGGACACATATTCACCCTTGACGAGGTGTCAGTTCACTCAGCGGGTATATTCGCATACTTTGCGTTCTTATATAATGAAATGTGAAAAAATCACTGAATTCAGAGATAACACTCTCAATGGTGTACAAGAAAGTGTAAGTACTTCATTTATAATAATAATAATAATAATTATTATTATTTATTAATAATAATAATTATTATTATTTATTAATAATAATAATAATAATTATTATTATTATTATTTATTTACAAGAAGGTACAATGGGTTGGTGAGATTACATTAGTGATATTTATACATTCTTGCACAGGAACTAACACGCATAGCGTTTGGTAAGGTGAAAGAGTACATTGTAGTAAGGCTTTATATCAACCTATATCAATTACACTGGTAAAGATTAAGTACTTAATTTGTCTTAAGTACTAATAGTAGGGAAGTGGGTAGTACAAGATACAGTGTGACTTTGAAGCACAAGGTTGGAAACTATGACGATGAAATTAGGTACTTATTTATTTTACTTTTGAACAGGGCATGAGTTGGACAATTTTTTAATTCATCAGGGAGTCAGTTCCAAAGACTGGGGCCCTTTTATTTACATGGAATGTTTGCACAAGTTTAGTCTGACTGGGGATATCAAAGATATATTTATTTCTGGTGTGGTGCTTATGGATTCTATTACATTTATCAAGGAAAAGTTTCGGATCAAGATTAGAATTTAGGAACAAGGTTTTGTGCATGTAGATAGCACACGAGAATGTGTGGAATGAGTGTTTAGCATGTTAAGGGACTTAAACAGAGGGGCTGTGTGTTGTCTGAAAACAGTTTGTTGGACATTTTTGAAGGCTATGTAGCAAGGGGTGCATAATAAGAATAATAAGAAATTAAATGGTAAAAAAAACAAATTGGTGAATTGTCTGCGATAAGGTTCCGGATTATTGGACGTGTCTCTTCACTTCAATATGGGGAGGGGGCGAGAGTCGGTTCACATCCACTGTGTAGATGTATTGCTGGCATACAGATGGTTCTCAGGTGGGAACGACAGTTCCCACCTGAGTCCCCGTGGCGCACTGGTAAGAAACTCGTCCCGCGCTTCGCAAGCGATTTGGCCTGGGTTCGTATCCAGGCCGGAGAGGATTGACTAGGCATCACTTAACTGCACGGCTCTGTTTACCCAGTAGTAAACGGGTACTTGGTTGTTAAACGATTTGGCGGGTCGTATTCCGGGGAAAATTAAGATTAAGCTAGGAGCTGCCCG